TCCTATTTTTTTCGATATAGCCCGTAAAAAGTATGTATATAAACGAATACTGTTACCTACAAATGTAATGAACACATTGTTTTACCTTTTTTCTTCATTTTATTTTCTCTCTCTCCTCACGAGGGCGCCACATATTGGGCTTCTTTTCTCTTTTTTCCATATAAAACGCGCCTTCTTCCGGTAAATTTCCGCGATCGGCCGTGACGACGACGTTTTTTTTTATCTTTTTTTTTCTTTTTTCTTTTTTCTATTTATATCTTTACATATCTTCGCAATCGCGCTCGTTATATTATCAATGTATCTACCCTTCCGTTTTTCTTCTTTTTTCTTTTTTTTCCCTTCATCATTATCATCATCATCATCATCATCATCATCATCATCATCGTTAATTACAATATATAGACATATATTTATATATATTTTTTTTCAATTGTAATATATAATATAATATAATCCCTACCATATAATAATTCTTTTTTTCACATACCGATCATATTTCAAATCGTCATCAAACAGCGAAAAAATCTGTTAATTATATATATCTATATATAAGACCGCGGCGTCTATGGTCGTTCGAATCATTCGAACGATTCTTCATCGTTTATGCGTATGCGTGTTATTGAAGTTCCCATTTTCATTTTTACTTTTTTTTCTTATCCCCCATAAGAGTCTATTATATATCGTCACTATCATTATTACTATATATAATATATATAATATATGTTGTAGCAGTGAAACGCTAAGTAAAAACTTGTTAACTAAAAAAGAAAAAAAAACTCGTAATAATAATAATAGTTATCATAAATGTTGATGATAAGATATTAATAATAATCGTAAGATATTAATAATAATAATAATAATAATAATTATAAGAATAATTATAAGAATAATTATAAGAGTAATTATAATAATAATAATTATAATAATAATAATAATAATCTTAATATTAATGTTAAAGTCCATAATTAGTAGCATTTATATTCATTTCTCTTATCCACGCAAATTTTCACCCTTTCCCATTTCCTTTCTCTCTCCTCCCTTTCTCTCTGACCATATACACTTAGCATATATTCCCGTTCTATATAAATTTGCAGTATACATGCATATATCTGCTTATGTTACGTATGCGTGTGTATATATCATCCTATATAAATATATACATTTATTTACACGCGTTTAAAAGCGTAGCGTGGCCACTAATCCTCGAATCAAATAAAAAAAAAAAAAATAAAAAAAGAAAGAAAAGTTGATCTCCACATCTGTTATAAAATCGTGTGTTGCCACTATCCCCCCCACACCCATTTCCGCGAACGTGTACCGCATATAATGATCGAGAATCAAAAAATAAAAAATAAGGAAGATTCTATTCGAAGACAATTCTATTCCCGGAAGCCTCTTTTCCATCTAACTCGATTTTCGTTTCTCAGCCGTAAAAAAAAAAGCTTTGGGTAACGAGCCGAGAAATCGGGGAACAATCGATTAAGGGAGGGAAAAAAAAAAAAAAAAAAAAAAAAAAAAAAATATTGATAAAGCAAGAAGAAAAAATTCAGCAATCCGCCTCCTTCCTTCCCACGAAGCTATCATCGTATTCTCGACAATTCATTTAACAACGAAACTAACGATATTCTTCTTCGCGTAGTCTCTTTCTCTTATTGCACCCGTTTTATATTAAAAAGAAAAAAAAAAAAAAAAAAACATCCAAAGCGATCTCTCGTGAATTATCATTCAGCACGAGAAATCGGCGAAAGGAAGGAAACGGAATCGCGATAATAAGCAAGAGCGAAATATAATATAATATACACGCGACATTTTATCACACATTTCACAATCACGATTGCTTTTTCTTTTTTTGTGGCACCGCCGGATCAGAAGAACGAGGAAGAAGACAGACGAAAGGGGTTCGAATATATTTTTCGCAACCCGAAAATTTGCTAGGTAATATATATATTATTCGTTTCGTAGCGTATGAAACGAAATATCTAAAAATGGAAGAGATGCATGGTATGCCTTATGTAACACGTTAAGAAAAGAATGTAAGGAATTATGTTAAGGTACCGGACTAAATTTCTATATTACTCTTTCACGGTCCTATGACTTTCTCTTTAGCATTCAGCATACTGTATGCACGTAACATGTATGTCCGTTGTGCTAGATGCAAAACTGTTACCCTACCTACACACGTTTTGTGACTCATACGTTCTTTCACCTACTTGCAAAATTCCCAGAATACAGCCACTCTCTTGCCAACACGCTCAATATTGGATCCATGGCTTCTCTATCGAAGGCGTGACACGTCGGGAACGTAAAGATCGCACAGCGATCATCAATCGATCTGTAAGTAACTACTATTAGCTATGGACGCGAAAAAGCCAGTGAGATTGCAATGGTGAAAACAATGGAATTCGATAAGAAAGAGATTTGTGAATGGGTATTGTTGGCTTCACCGCACCCGGTTATCCGTGATTTTTTTTTTTCTTCCCGCTGAATGGCATTGTCGAACGCGCGTTTCCTATCCGTGCAACGCGAAACACGCCTCTTTTTGGAGCTCGTTCGTCGAATGCTTTCTATTAAGAATCGATAGTAAGAAAAAAAAAAAAAGAAAAAAAAAAATATATCGATTTCAAGTTTTACCCTCGATCATCCATGCTATAATGAAAATAATTTTTAGCTTGGAGTCGTTGAAACACGTGAAATTGCGAGAATTATGAGAAATATAAATATCTATATGATTTGTGATTTTTCCCTTCGATTTCCAAAACTCGTACGATGAATCTGTGGATCTATCTATGAGGATCTATAAATTTCGCTTTGACTATATTATTATCGTGACGAGAATATCGTGTAAAAGCATTATATAAAATCGCTAATATAGAGAACAAGCTTCATGAGTTATCAGTTTCAGTATCCGTTTTCTTTTTGTCGCTTGTTATCGATACAAGTTTTGGAAAAAGAACGATCTATCGACGATCGTAAGCTGCGTGTATATTTTCCATTTTTATATATCTTCCTTTTCGTTCGTTCATTTTCTAAAAATGAAGGATACAACCTATAAACCGGTTCAACCCTGAAATACGTACTAAGACCAGTTAAGGCTAGGGAACCGATGATACCAACAGTGTACAACATTCGTTGATAAGCCTCTTCTCTTGTGTGGCGCACGGATTTTGCATCAAACGTCGATCAGAGGATCAAACGATTCGAGAACCGAGTCGCGAAATCATCGAGACTCCTCTTATTATTAATATAATAATCCTTTTTTCCCACTTGGAGATTTGTCTCGACATATCTAAATGCAAGTCTTTCGCGATAAAACGAAAAACCACGAGTGTGCATACGTGTGTGTATATATATATATATATGTTTATGTGTATATATGTATCGTGAAAAATGCATGATAAATAGTTATATTCGATTAAAGGCCACGTATCTCGATCCTCATCGAACGTTTCGTACATCGTTGCTCTATTGCCTCTATATCGTGAAATATATTTAAAATAATACGTACGAGTTCCCAAGCTCCAGGAAAACCGGTCTTAGTCGATAATATCTGTCTCTGATAAGATGACACTGATCGAGAAAGAGATCAAAAAAAAAAAAAATCAATATTTATATCTTGACATCGCGACTCAGCCTCGTGATTCTTTTCTTCTCGCAGTGCATTTTACCGTGATAAATCGTATATACGTATACGTATACGTATGCGCGTGTATAATATATAATATAAAATAAGAAAAAAAAAGAATAGAAACAATGACAAAGAGAAATTCGGAATCTATCGTCGTTCTCTTTTGTCTCTCCTTTTTTTTTTAGTCGAACTCAATTTTTACGTCCTTACAGATACCTTCTGTGAACTCCGGCCAAAGCGATCTTCTATCAATTCTCTCCCTTCACTTTTGCAGCTCGCCATTCGAAGAATCTCTTCTTACAAATATACATATATAAATATCCTCTTCGAAGTTCTTTTTTTTTTTTGGCGATTTCTTCGATCTCTTCCAATATTTGTTAGTTGCCGATTATATGCGAACGATATTTCATTTCTTCTCTCTTCGTTCTTGGTACACGTTCGACAGAACGAATTTAATATCATCGATCCTTCAAAATTCTCCCCTTAATTCGAAGCAAACGAAACTTGGACCTCTCTCTCTTCGTTTTGACATTACGTGTGCATATACATAATATATATACATATGTATATATGTATATATATTTGTTTCTTTTATACGATAAAACGGATGTGGATATAAGTTTACCCATATCCGACCAAGTTCCGAGAACTTCGATTAGGATCAGAGAATCGCAACACGTTCATCTCTCTTCTCGTTAATCAGGACCAAAATGCCCGACGCTTCTACTCAACGGCGCCATCTGGCGCCGCTGAGCGCGCCATC